TAGGTATGGCCACACAGACTCATGTGTTTAAATGCTTTGCCCATAGGGAATGGCGATATTCGAGGTGTGGCCTTGATGGAATAGGCGTGGCTTTGTTGGAGTGGATGTGGCCTTGGAAGAAGTGTGTCATTGTGGGGCAGGCTTTGAGGTCTTTTATGCTCAAACTACATCCAGTGACACAGTCTCCTTTGCTGCCTGTGGATCAAGATGTAGAACTCTCAGCTCCTCCAGCACCACGTCTGCCTACATACTGCCATGCTTCCTACCATGAAAATGGACTAAACCTCTGAAAGTGTAAGCCAGCCCCAATTAAATGTTGTACTTTGTAAGAGTTGCCTTGTTCATGGTGTCTCTTCACAACAATAAAACCCTTACTAAGACAGTTTTGTTGTTGTTTTTAGTTTATTGAGTAAGGGTCTCATATTTCAAACTGGTTTTGACTTTGCTAAGTAGCTGAGGCTGGCTTTGAACTCATAGACCTCTGCCTGCCTTTGCTACAGGAGTGGTGAGATCAAACTGTATGCCCCATGCTGAGCCCACAAGAGGACGTTTTTAGGAAAACACATATGAAAACACCTATCTCTGAAGGCACGTTTCCTTCTGCCCTTTACTCTCCAATGTGCCTGAGTCCTTACCTTACTGTTTGCAATGCACAGTATCCCAAGTGCCTACAAAAGGGGCTCCCAAACCCTCAGTATGTCCATCCTTTATGCCTACCAGCTCAGTTCCAGGGCTGAGTGCCTGGTAGCATTGCCTTAGCAACCAAGGCTAACCTCAGCTCAGTACATTGGTTTCTGCAAGCCTGCCTCTGACAAGAAAGCTGGCTGCAGACATCCCTACAGGAAGAGAGGCTGGAAATGTGCAGGCAGCCATGCGAGTATGAGCTATCATTAGCAGAATGTCAGAATGTTTCCTGCTGACAGCCATCATCCCTGAACTTGCTAACAAAGGGTGAATATATTTCACCACTATAGAAGCCTTTTCTGGGAAATACCAGTTGCAGTCAATTTCAGACTGGTCACCCTTGGGTCTGTGGTTCTCTAGGGCTGGGGGAAGCTGGTCTATTTTCCACAGAAAAACTAGGGAGCAGAACTGTTGTCTAGGCCAGAATGTGAGAGAGGCCCTTGCAGTCAGCCTGGTGGGGAACAGTGAGGATCCATTTCTGGGCTCAGGACTTGAGTTCCATGACAGAGTGTGTGCAGCATTATCTTTGCACTTTGTCCAGGAAGAAGGGCAGGGAGTGCTGCCAAGTCTGTGGTAGAGGCCAGGCTGTCTGTAGGAGGTCTGTATCAGGGCCCAGTTGTTTTAAAGCCTCTTAGAATATAGAGGAGTGGAGGGTAGGCATAAAGGGTGAATGATTGACAGGCTCAGGGTTCAATAGAGTTAGAACTAAGAACCAACAGGTTGGATGGAAAGATAGACAGACTGGTGATAGGTGAATGAATGGATGGGTAGATGGGTGGATAGATGGATGCATGGATGAGTGGATGGGTAGATGAATGGATGGATGGATGGATGGATGGATGGATGGATGGATGGAGTGTAGGTGGATAGAGATATGGGTGGATGAATAGATGAGTAGTCCTAATTGGGTGATTGAATGGGTAGATGGTACAATGGATGTATAGGTAGATAGATGTATAAATGTCTATTGCTGTGATATAGACCATGACTAAAGACAACATGGAGAGGAAAGGGTCTATGTAGCTTACACATCCCCATCACAGTCTGTCACAGAGAAAAGTCAGGGCAGGAACTCAAGTCAGGAATCTGGAGGCAGGAACTGAAGCAGAGGCCATGGAGGAATGCTGCTTACTGGCTTGCTCAGCCTTCTTAAACACCCTAGGACCACTTGTCTGGGGGTGGAACTGCCCACAGTGAGTTGGGCTTTCTCACATCAACCGTTAATCAATGAAATGGATCTCATTCTTGCCTAAAGGCCTATCTGATAGAGGCAATTTCTCAACTCAAACATCCTCTTCTTAGGCGACTCTAATTTATATCAAGTTGGCAAAAACTAACTAGCACAGATGTATTGCTGAGTAGACAGATGGGTACGTGGATAAGTAGGTGATAGATGATTGATAGATGATAGATAACTAAGTTATTGATAGATGGTAGCTGTTAAAAGATGGATGGATGGATAGATAGATAGATAGATAGATAGATAGATAAGCAGGCAGGCAGGCATGCACTCAGCATATAGAGCAAATAAGGGAGGTCTAGCCCTCCCTTCAGATTCAGTCTGCTCTTCTGTTTCTCCCAGTGAATGGCTTCTATAGTGGATATGATGATGGGGTACCCCAGTGGCCTCATAATGCTAATAACAAGGGAGCAGCTCAATAGGGACTCAATCCACACCAGGAACTGAGCAGACAGGTTTTACACCTGAGAAGTTCTCTGCCTTACAAGGTCTTAGCTGACCAGGGCTGGATCTGTAGCCAGTCACGTAGGTACGGCAGCTGCAGTTTGCTCTAGTCCTGACTCTGCTGCAGATTTGCTATGTGACCTGGGGCCAAGGGTCTGACTTCTCTGAATGTCAGCTATCTACCAAATGTTGGGCCTCCTCACTACGCTCCGTGTGTGAGTGTGTGTGTGTGTGTGTGTGTGTGTGTGTGGTGTGTGTATATGTGTGTGTGTGTGGTGTGTGTGTGTATATGTGTGTGTGTGTGTGTGTGTGTGTGTGTGTGTGTGAGAGAGAGAGAGAGAGAGAGAGAGAGAGAGAGAGAGAGAGAGAGAGATCGGGAGCAAAAGGAGTCACATGCTCCAAACACTGTATAGTGTTTGGCAAAATGGAAGATTTTATCACTCTGTCCCCACTTCAGTGATGGCCTCTCCTCTTGGGATAAGTTATGAAGATTGTCAATATGGTGAAACTGATGTAGATGACATCTGTGGTGTCAATTCCTGCTTACTTATTGTGTCATGATACTGGGACACTAGACAGAGCATGCTGTACACAAGGCTCTGTCTTATCCCACCACACCCAAAGGTCACAGTTATTACTGCAGACAGAGGTGGGCGATCAGGATCCCTGATGGGAATTGGTGCCTGCAGGTCCCGAGTCTTCCTCTTTCTCCCCTGATCTCAAGTTCCCAGGGCATCCTAAGGGTAGTTTAAGATTTTCAGCTCCAAGGAAGGTCCCCTGGAAAGCTGTGCTTTCTGATCACCACTGGGATGGCTGCCTCTCCCACTAAGCAGGATGCAGAAGGGTGACCCTGAGGTTTGGTACAGGGATTTTCTTCCAACAGCTCAAGAGCTGTGGGTTGTGGTACCAGAACTACCTTTGGGTCTTTTCCAGGGCTCTTTGAGAGAGGGCTTGCTCTACTCTGTAGATGAGGGCTGGGTACCAACTTGGAGATAAATGGTCCCACCCAAGTATACTGTGGCACTTCAGATCGGACATACCTATGGGCTGGGGGCAGAGCAATAATGAGTCCCTGGTGAGGGCATAGGGAGTCTGTGCAGGGCAACTGGGATCTGAGGGAGAGTGAGGCAAGAAGGACTCAGCACCAATAATTTGTTCCCAGCACTCTCGGGAACATGGCTCTGATCCACAATAGCCAAGTGAATTTCTATGCCTCAATATTGACTTTTTGGGTGCCTGAAGGAAGTTTTTCTGGTGAGCCAAACAGCTAGTCATTTTTGGACCCTCACATGGAAGCTGCCTAGAGTCCCTTCTTTCCCCAGATACCCAGGGATCCCTAGTGCCCTGACCAGCCACACGGGTTCCTGAAGAGGCTATACACCCCACTGGGGACCAGACCCAAAGGAATGTTTTGACCCAGAAAGACAGGAGCCTGGAAGAAGTGCACAGAACAGGTGGTGGTCACAGTGACACTGGGAACCTCCAGCTGGCTCTTCCCAGACCTTGCCTCCTTAGATGGGCTTCTCTAGACAGCCCAGCCCCGATCCTGGGGACATCTCAGGATGTCATTATCTCTAGCTCTCATCTGCAGATTCAATGGCTCCTGGTTAGACCCTGTAGTTCTTGGGGATGTAGTTCTTCATTTGCTTCCTAGCTACTGTGGGTCCTAGGAACAACCCTCTGTCCCAGTTCAAGCTGAGGAGGCTGCCTCTGAGAGGGAGGCAAAGGCCTGGCCTCAAGCACCTCAGGCCCAGTTCTTTCCATGATGTTTCAGCATGAAGGCTGGCACTTCCCTCACCACTTTGCAAGAGCTGCAGATTGCAAGGTTGGAAGACACCCAGCTGGGCAGGCTGCCCTCCTTCATCGGGGCAGAGGAAGGTGAGGCAGCAGCAATCACCAAGATTAATTGATGAACACGGCTTGTTCCAAAATTAGAGAGAAATTGGGTCACTTTGGAGGTCCTGGTCAAAAGCAGGAACATGCCACTTCTCATGTGTCACCAGCCAATGGGGAGAAGCTTCCAGAAGACACTGGGAAGAAAAACCGAGTGAGAGTCAGTCTAACATCCAAGTTTGTGGTAGAAGACAAAACGTCAGGTACCAGGAGGGATGGCACACTTGGTAAAGGTGAGATGTCCTTGTTTGTTTGATATGCTCCCAGGGACACTGATCTTGAATAAGCTACTTACGTTCATCTAAAGATGCACAGCAAGGCAGACACATAGATGATGGATGGATAGAAAATGACAGATGAAAGATAGATGATAGGTTAAGGTGCACGAGAGATAGACTTGGTCCCTCAGGAGGACGGTCTGTGAAACCACAGTCAAAGAAGCACAGTCATGTTGCTATCCTCTGGTGATGTGACTACAGCCATCTTGAGTCCCAGTAGCTGTGACACCCCACACTAGACTCTCATGAGATGGGCATATTTACATTTCCTTTGTGAACATGGGTGCAGGGTGCTCTCAAATATCCCGAGCATCTTGAGTGCCTCATAGGCCCCTCCCACTTTGATGATTCCACCTTAAGTTGCTGATGGATGTAGGTGGTATAGTGGCCCCTAAGTCACCTATTGGGACTCCCCACTAGTGTGTCTGCTTTGATTTGCCATTACCATTGATCATAAACCCTCAAAACTCCTTGGCTCACCAAGCTAGACTTGGAGGGGCCCCTTTCTTGGTCTGTTGGTGTCCTCCCTACAGGGAGTGGCTCCA